TAAAAATGTCCGTCATCTTTGTGTCTCATGGCAATGTAGTCAGACATCAACTGAACAGGACAAATCGAACTAGTTTTATTATTTTCAAGAATTGTCGTTACTGAATTACCCAGCTGGTCAGTATTCTAAGAAGGAACTTTTATATAAAGTGACCCTGAGTAAGCATCAAATGTTATATTGGATCGTTTTACAATATGATTTTCATTAAAATTTGAATTTGCAATTCCTCCAAAACCAAGAAACCCACAAATTCTAGCTAAAAATGAAGCTTTAAATAAACATGTTTCATATACTGAATAACAAACTAAATTCAGTGCATCTAAAAGTCTAGTTAATATATCAATAGTATTAGGCTTACGACAGTCGTGTCGCTCATCTAAACGAAGCATGCCACGGAGCATCTTTTGAACAATAAAAGAATAAGTGTTGTCCAATAAACCATTGATAAAGACTAATGCCTGACAGGTACGCTTTCTCAGTAGAATAAGAATATTCTTCCTTAAACATGTCAGCTATATAATTAACTAAAATTGAAACGGGGCATGGCCAAACGTCATACAGGTTTAGTTTATGTTTAAAATTCTGAAATGAATTTAGTCCATTTGATACGTAAGCCAAGTGTTTGTAGAATTTGAGGCTTCTATTAGGCTCAACACTTCTGGTCTAAAATTGTCCAAAAGTTCACCAGAACTAAAGTGGGATGTGGTTCTGCACATGGAGCCAATTCCTTGTATTTCTGAAATTTCCACGAGAGATTAAATCAGCAAAAACATTTTTTATAACCAGGAATATGAACGGTTTTAATGTGAAAACTACCCAGCAAGCGCCACAATACGATATGTATAACAAGTAACATAACACGAGGTGATTTTGATGAGCAGGATTTAATATGGTTTACAACAGACTGGTTATCTAAATGAAACATTATTTTCTTCTTTGCCATAAGTTTCCCCACAAAAAAATAAAAAATACCTAATGCGATGGGGATCATTTCTAAATAAGTGATGTCTCTGAAAACGTCTTCCTTCCAATTCATAAGCAAATCTAATTCTGACCCTTTCCCCTCAAAATATATACCACATCCGCCTCCTTTCCCCTCAGCACTACCGGTAAAGAGATTTAAAACAGAACTCGACAACCACTCATCGTCCAAAATATAAGAAATCCCATTATAATTTCTAGAAAACATTTCCAAACTCGTAGATTTGAAATAGGTCGATAATAAAAGGGTCCTGCAATTCTATCATTTTCCACTTCACCAATGACTTTTTCCAAGCTAAACTTGGATCATGTAAAACAGACTTTAAATTTTTGCTTGTATAATGTGTTCGAAAACCATATTTAAAACCATTATATAGTATATTGGCCGATATTTTATCGGGGTAGTCTCAACATATTTCCTAAAACAGTAGTATTAATAGGGGTAAAACCCAAACACCAAATATCATACTGTTGATTACAAGCTGTAAAAAATTATAAAATTTGAAATGATTAAAATTGCATACATGGAACGTTTGCCTGGTGACCTGGAAATCTTTAATTATTAATCGAAAAACGAGTATTTTGGTTAACATTTCCATGTGTATTCAAAAACCTGTTTGACTGCGTTGTAGCTCTAGCACTGGAGTGATACCTTGGCGCAAAATTATTTGTAGCAGGTGCCCTAAGGTAATTTTGATACCTAGGAGCAGAATAGTGCGAAGTTACAGAACTTCGAGGATTATTCTAGTTATATGAATAATTTGTACAGTACATCAAAGGATGGAACTGGCTACATCTTATACATGAATGGCTGTATACACAATTCATACGAGTACAAACGCCCTTAAAATTATAATCGCAGCAAGGACTGTTAACTGTGTGAGAAGTATAAGATGTCTGTGGAACATGATTTATGCATACTGCAATAAGCTGAAGCCATAGCTGCCCATCAATGACGTCCCATGCACGCATATGATCTCGAGCTTTTCTTAGTCGAAATTGCTTGTCATATTTATAAACGTTCTCAAAAGGTACACTAGCCCCCCTAATAATCGTCATGTAGCTAATCAATTCATTTGCCAAATCCGGGAATCTTTGCATAAATTGTTCATATAATTTAAAAAACCTTCAGTCCACTCACCTACGTTGGATACTGATTTTACTTTTGAATATTTGTTTCTTTCAATTAAAATGTCCCCACCTTCATCAAAACCGAGCACTTTTTTCGGTTGATCAATATTTGAAACTTTTTTGTACAGTCATTGGGCCAAATCAACATATTCTAAATTCCAAATTTAGTTTATAATTTTTTGTGGTACAAACACATCAACATCATTTCTAGTAGGTATAACTAAAAATCTCACCGTTTTGTACAGTATTACGAGCTGTGGGCTGCCCTGGATGTACACCTCCCTGATTAGGAACTTGTTGTTCATCGGGCTGCTGAGGGCCGTTTGGAGTTCCAACCTGGTGTGGTGGTAGAATTGGCTGTTGTGGTAATAACGGCTGTTGTGGTAATAACTGATGTGGTGGCAATAACTGATGTGGTGGCATTTATGGCTGCTGTGATGGTATTAATGGCTGTTGTGGTGGTATTAATGGCTGGTGTGGTGGCATTAACGGCTGTTGTGGTGGCATTAACAGCTATTGTGGATTGGCTTCATTTTGTCCAATAATTTCAGCTCTCCTTGGGCGAAGCCTTCTGTTTACCGGTAGCTGTACTTGATTTTCCTGCCTACGTGCAGAACGGTTTGCCAGCACCGTCTTCCCTTTTCCTCTCGGCATACTGGTTTAAACAAATAATTACAATGTTAGTCAATGCATTAGTAAAACATTATATCATTTGTCAATGTTACACCCCTAAATTAACACTTGAATCAATATGGAAAAACAAATATTTCAATATGCTCATTGACTAATTAGTATTAAGATACAATGTCAATAACCAAAGTAGAAAAAAACGAAAAGCTTGATTGTTGCTGCCAATGTCCAGTGGCAGATATTTCAAGTATATTCATAATGATAATATCATATTGATAACGTCATGAAAGACATAATTGAGGTATCCACCAAATATCAATTGAATTGGCCTTCGTCAATGAGAATTATTCATACCCTATAATCGGCTATAAAACATGAAAACTATTAAACAATTAAATCGAAAAGTATATCTATTTAAATTAAAAACCAATTGTTCAAAGAACAATTGAAGGTCTTTCCACATCAATTTTCTAAATTATTGCTGAGAAGCTAATTCTGGTTTACTCAAAGCTACTATTGGCGTCCAATCATAGGTTTCTTCATACTGATTCAATAAACATATGGTTTCTATAGGCTTTTGCCTGAAATAAGGGAGATGATTGTCAACTTCCGGATTAGAAAATGTCACTTCCGGTCTCGTATGATAGATTTATTTACACTGATTCCAAAAATATATGGTTTATATATACTTTTGCCTGTAAAAAGAGAGATAATTGGCTACTTCCGGTTTAGAAAATGTCACTTCCGGTCTCATATGATAGATTCCAAAAATATATGGTTTATTCATACTTTTGCCTGTAAAAAGGGAGATAATTGGCTACTTCCGGTTAAGAAAATGTCACATTCGGTCTCATATGATAGCTTCATTTACACTGATTCCAAAAATTTATGGTTTATATATACTTATGCCTGTAATAAGGGAGATAATATGCTACTTCCGGTTTAAAAAATATCACTTCCAGTCTCAAATGATAGATTAATGTATGACCATTGAAAAAATATATGGTTTCTATGTACTTCTACATGAAATAAGTGCAAAAATGACTACTTTCGGTTCACTCAAGGTCACTTCCGGTTGACATTTTTCAAGGTCATATGTCACCCAACATTTTGCAAAAGATCTTATGGCTTTATCATGTACCAAGTTGGAGTAATAATCAATTAACCTTAAATTGAATCATTTCAGGGACAATAACTCATATAAGATATCATTGGATTATTTCAGACCAAATGTATCATATCTTAATCACAATTAAGCAAACATTTTGAACTAGTTCTTTAATTTGTAATTTAAAAAGTGACAGAGGAGATCAAATAACAAGGAAAAGTCAAAATTTAGAATATGACCTTGACCTTTGACCTTGGCCTCAATTTCATTTAAATGAACCAAGGAACTCAAATCAATATACCTTAGGTCTCTATCACTTACCATTCATGCTATACATTTATATATCCCTTATGTCAAATACAGAAGGGGAAATAACTCTCATATGGAGTTTACGTATCGCTTCGGTCAAAATTGGACAAAACATCCTGAGGATATAACGAGCAATTTGGTAAAATAAATTTGTCGCTTTCTTTTACAGTTACGGAGGAGATGCTTGCACAAGGAAAACAGTGTTCGGGGAGATAATTCCTACAAAGAAAATTATTTGGTTTCGCAGGGTAATTTTCAAAGGCGCATAAACTGTTCGATATCATATACCAAATATCTAAGCGACATATTGCGAAACAAATATTTATCGCAAGAACAAAATTAGGCGGAAGAAAAAAAAAATAATCAGAAGAAAACCAATAGGTCTTTCTACAGAAAAGTGGAAATACCTAATTAATCAACTAACATCCTTGATGACTCGCAATAGTTTACGAAAATTAATGATTCATAGATTGTATCTTAACGTCCAGTGGCACCTATTTCATGCGTATTGAGGACGAAAAGAATTTATATATACATTTATGTAGAAATTAATATATGGCTTACTCACCGGTTACTTAATACTGCAAGATTTGGATTTCGATTAAAAATAAATAACATGGAAAATGTTCATTAGCGTATTTAGACAGTTAAACAATTAGATATAACAACTCGCACTATAAGTATAACTATCTACTCAATTTACAAATAGAAATATAAAATAATATCCAAGAAAAGATTGTTGACAATTTACACAATATCAGAATTTAAATTCAATTATATTACACCAAAGAATAAGTTAAGGTTCATCATGACTATTTTTTCATTACATTAAAAGAAAATGAAAAAAATATGTTTTCACTGCATAAAATATAGTTTCTATATACCGTTGTAATTGTCATAGTCTGTAGTATCAAAATATCATCATCAATGAAATAAATATGTATCTGTTTCCAAGAATGAAGACCGTTTATGTACACCACATCAAAGAAAATGTCTTTAAAAAATGCCATCTTCAAAATCTGAAAAATATAAGTTAAAATGTTCATTAAGTTCATAGCTAGATGCTGCCAGGCTTCTTTTCTTACATTTTTTCTATTAAAAGCATTTTATAAGAATATTCATTTCATTTATTTTTTTCTAAATTCACCTGTACAGGAACTACTTTTTCAAAATGTATGGTGTGCATTACAGGACAATTTTTGAATTGTCTCCCTTTTACTGTAAATCAATTCATATAATCAACATAAGAAAAACAGTGACAGAATAAAGAGAAAATTGTCTATAATTTTGAAACATTAGTGATTTAATCCTTACTTCGAAGCATTTTAAAAATTCACATGGCTAACAAATAAGCAATTTTTAATAGAAACATCCAAATGTATGTGGAAAAAAATAACTATAACAAAAATAAACTGATTAACTGGTCAGATAAAATAGGTGTCTTTCATTAAACTTTCTTTATCATACTCTTAAGACTAAATTGAAAATAAAGGCACAAGGAAAATGCATTCAGAAAGTATTCCTTGGAAAGTTGCAAGATGTAACAGCCATAGGACCAAAGTATTTATTTCAACATATTTTTAAAAATTATTTAAAATTTAATCATTTTCATCCAATTAATGTTTTTGTGGTAACCTTTTACAGTGAAATGGTTTTATATAGAGATAAAATCAGAATTTGGTAATGATTGTATAAATAATAATAGTTACATTTAAATGTCAGTGAATTTCATGGAAGAATTCCTGAAATCATCAGCAAGGTGGTCTATTTCATATGAATCGTCACATCCTTCATATAAAACTTCGTAAACTGCATCTTCATCACCATCCAACTTTTTCAAGACAGTAAGTACAACACCTTTATACCATTTGTTGCTATTTGTCTCCTCATCAAACCATTCATGCAAAATGTGTCTGCCAACAAACTTTTGCTTTGAACTTCTCATAGAACTGAAATATATAACAACTTAAAATTTAAATATCTAGGTCATAATTGAATAAATTTAACAAAAAACCATAATTTAGGATTTCAACACCCATAATCAGTTCAATACAAAAATACCATTCAACTGTAATTATTATTTAAAGAACATTTTCAAATTTTCATAATTTTATATTACATTTTTTACATGACATGTTAAAACTGATAACTGCGGTACACAAAAACATAATTATTCTTATTCTTTGTTGTAAAATTTCTTTCAGATTAACATATCATGTCGTGATAGCCTTATTATGTTATGCTTACAACATATATGATGATTATTACAAATGCATAATCAAATCAACACAGATCTAAATATACATGATCAATTATTTTAAATATTTTGTAACCTCTAGTTCTACTTAACAGGTCTATAAGTTTACACTCCATCTTCATTTTATGATTTAAAAGTCTAAATATTGTGTTTGTTTGGATGATGATACATTGATTAAATAGAAAATAAAATAATTTTCTTTCTTTGCTATATTTCATTCATGTTCTTTCGTTAAATTTTTTTATTGTTTTCTACATACAAGTAAATCATGTTTGTATTTTTTACGCCTTTATAACTTTCCCTTTGGTTAAGTTTTTTGCACTGTGTTGAATGCTGTATGGTTTCATTTCATTGCTTACACATTGTGTGTTGGATGAAGATTTGTCTCATTGAATTATTTTTTTATTTATGATAATATAAAAATATTATTCTTGAACAATATTCATGTATAGAATAATTGAAAACAACACTTCATAACATTTATGTGTCGGAAAAAGTTTTCTAGATTTACGTTTTTCAGAAACGCTAACAATCAAATATTTGAAAGACAATGATGTATAAAAACCAAAAATGTTGAACAGCTATAAACAAAAAAGGATAAAATTAAAATAATCCATATAGATGTTCTTTTTTGTTTCTTAAATTTACAGGTACAATGTATTTTATCATATAAGCATATTGTAAACATACCTCCTTCTTCTTTTACTTGAACACGCTGATTCTCCACTCACACTGGTATTCAATTTGTGGTCTTTCTGTTTTCTTTTACTACTCCTACTCTTTCTCTGTATTAAACTGCTATTTGAGGGCCCTTCAGGCAAATCTGACTGAAACTGAAATATAAAAAGATAAACCATACAGTTGATACAACTTTGATTTTATTGCAAATTTCTAAACCTAAACTTATTTCTCAATTACTTAGTATCCTGTAATGGAATTTCAGTGGCCAATTATACATTTTTACAGAATGTGCACAATACATGGATAGCAACATCATGTAGATCATTTAAGAAGACAATATAAACATAATCAGATGACATGTTTAAATTTCATTGCAATTTATCTTTGTTTTTGTTACGAAAGTCATCCATGCTGTCAAGAATTGCAAATACCCCATTTACAGCTTATGAATATCAATGCAAAATAGAGCATTACATTTTTATATCCATTCTTTTTGACAGAAATTTTAGGTATGGGTAAACCTTTTTTCATGTAGTGAATGGATATCATGTATACTGTATGTACTTCTCCAAACTTGATATTATTCAAATAGTCTTAACTACCTATTAATTCACTAGTATAACATGTATATCAATTAATATTTATATCAGGGTGTTATTTTCATTATTGCAAATTGTAAACACTAAATTTATGATTTGGTCAATGATATGCATGATATGTACACATTATAAAAATATTAACCTAAATACTGTATTTATTAGTCATTTGAATCTATATTTTAGTAGTTTAACTAAAAACTAATACATGTAATATGAACATGTCAGATAAAAGGCAAAAAATATTTTCACCATAATATAACTTATTAAATATCAACGGGAAAGAAGTTAAAGTATACATGTATTATGCATACCCAATTGTCAGGTTCTCTGATTCCTGGATACTTGTTATGTCTGCGGGACGCTAATTCTTGAAGAATTGCTTTCATATAAAATACTTTCAGCTTAGGTAGCATAATGGATTCCCAAAATGCTGAGTCCTTTGTTATCCTTTGAATATGAATGTCATAAGGGTTGATGGTTCGAACAATGAAATCTAACCATGGTAAACTTGTAATATTTAATAAACCCTGAGATTGGTAGTAAAAGTTGTGGTTTTTCTTCAGTTGCAGTTCTTTGTCATGATTAAGTTCTAAACAGAAATTAGAAACGGATTTTGTTGCTTCAGCCAAAGATATAGGTTTGTTGTGGAGAACATTCTTTATTTCAATTATTCCAGTTCTATTATTATTTTCTAAGACGATGCCATCAGGACTTGCGGCCAAAAATTTATGAATAGGGTGTATAATAAGTCCACACTGTTCAATTTTGATAGATATATTTTTTTTACACATGTACTGAATGTATTCCAAAATAATAATTCTTTCCTGACTCAGTCCAAAACGTGTTGATTTATTTCCAGAAAATGTACAGTAAAGAAGAGAAGATAATAGTTTAGCCACGGGTAATTTTGAATTTCTTTTAACAATGCGGCCAAAATTTGATGAAGTTAAACGTTTTTTACGCTGTTCTGACCAATTTGTGCATATACTTTGAGATGTTGTTTCTAACTCAATTTTCTTAATTTCTGATGGTGTAATATCTATTTCTGTAGTATAAAATTTCTCCTTGATGGTTTCTAGTTGTTGAGGTGGTATGTCATTCTCTGCTTGAATGCATTCTTTCCCATACTGTCTTTTTGCTTTGCGCGATGTTGCCTCTTTTGACGCCTTCATTTTCCTTTTCCATCTATTTTGCTTGATTTGCGGTTTTGATTTTGGGGTGTTGTTGATGTTGATATTTTTCTCTCTGGTGTTATATAATTTCTGAAAATAGTGACCACTGTTAGACTGTGTACTTGACTCCCATACTTTAGGTGACCATACTGTACCTAAATTGTTTCTTAGAGCTGCCCCATAGCATCTAGTGTGCCATGAACCTCTATTGCAGTGATTATACATCTTACCCCTATCAAATTTGGTACGCATGTGCATCCACGACTCAGCTAAATTACTGGTAAAATTTCCTATGAGGTTTGATGATTTCTTTGCAATGTTGTTCAAGAGGATTGCTATGTCTCTGCACATGTCGCTAACTATGTATGATGGTATCAAGTTTGATGAGAGTCTTGCTTCTTCCTGCTCCTCAACATTTGCCCCTTCTGTCCACATATTAGTTTGTTCCTCAAAAATACATTCTGTTTCTAAATTGCTGTTTATTTCTTCATTAATATTTAAAGTTGGGGTATTTTCATTAGCAGTTGTGTTGGCCTTGCAAAAATCCGAACAGTTTGAATGTTCTCCATATATGTGATTAAGTGAATTTCTAATGTCATGTTCTAATTTCTTGATGGTCTCTTATCTGTCTTCTTCTAGCGATCTCATACGGATAGCACATCGTACTGCACTACTCAACCTAATTCTTGTACTTTTGCAGAGTCTTCCTTTTCCCTTATAAGATGGGTTATCAACCACTAGTTTTTCCAGGTTTGATCTTAAACAATTGCATGCATGGTTTGAGCATTCTATCTTTTTCACGTGGCAACCCCAAACAGGAACCTTTTCCATAATTTTGGCCATAACGGAGGAATCCCCATCCCCAATAATTTCCATATAGCGAACACCATGATCATTAGCTTTAAGGAAGTCTTCAACAATGATGTCTGACTCCATTGCCTGACTTGACTCATTCCAATTTTTAAAGCAGACATGGTGTAACGGTTCAATTCCCAATGTTGCAGCTCGGTTACAAATATAACAATATTTGTTTCTTATTCCAATATGAAGAATTTTTTTAGTTTCTGCTCCAATGATAACAGCAACACCTCCTAACGCATTATAGGTGTGCTTATGAGAACGCTTTCTCCACCCACCATCACAAATAACCCTTATACTGGGCAAACCTGTAAACCAAAATAATTGATTACTTACCATTCAAATGAAAAGATAAAATGCTTCGCTGAGCGCAGCCTGATACGACCGCAAGGTCGAACCCTGAAAAGTTTGGGCAAATTTGAACACAATATTCAAGGTTGATACTGTCTGAATTGGATTGTGATAATTTTTTTTAAAATATAGGTATCTGAAACAAAATAAATGTGGTCAAAGATCTTGCAAATCTGTTGTGTAATTATTTATGATACTTTTTAAAAATTTGAAATTTGACCCCTTAACAAAAATTAAGAAAAAAAATCCACCCAAACTTTTAAAACCACAACCCCCAACCCCTGGAGCAACTACCCACAAACTCAATCCCAGCCTTACCTTTGTAGTATTGAACCATGAAGTACAATTTCAGAGAGATCCATATACTTAAACACAAATTATTGTCTGGAACATTTTTGGAAAATAGAAAAAATATTGGTTTTGGCCCCTAATTTCTACTTGTGGTATTTTATAACATTGTGGTACAATTTCAGAGCAATCAAAATATTTTTACACAAGTTATTATCCTGGACCTAAAAAATGCTTCTTGTTGGCCCCTTTAGGACCCCTTATTCCTAAACAAATGGAACCATCATTATTCAAAATCAATCTAATCCTTTCTTTAGTGGTATCGAACCTTCCTAAAAAAAATTATAGATATGCATTCACTTTAAACTTAAGTTACAAATGTATTGTCTCAAAAACAAATGTGTCTTCTGACAACGACAAGAACGACGACGATATCATAGCATTATACGATCCAAAAATATATTTGTCATGGAGACTGAAATAATGATTTATATACATGTATATATATTGATGTGGTTCATAAGTGTTTCTCGTTTCTCGTTTTTTATATAGATTAGACCGTTGGTTTTCCCGTTTGGTTTTACACTAGTAATGTTTTGGGGCCCTTTATAGCTTACTGTTCGGTGTGAGCCAAGGCTCCGTGTTGAAGACCGTACTGTGATCTATATTACTTTTATAAATTTTGACTTGGATGGAGAGTTGTCTCATTGGCACTCATACCACATCTTCTTATATCTATATATAGAAATAAATTTGCATCTTCACACTGTTGGAGTAACCAGGGCCAAAAATGAAAAGTCCCTAGACTTGCCATCAGAATTCCTTAGTGAGAACCCTTACTTTTTTGTTTTTAAAAATTGCTTTTATGAGTTTGCGTTTATGACATTTATTTGATGTCTTCAATTTCTGGTTCATGCATGTTTTTTTTTGCAGTCATATTGGATCACAATGGTGATGTGCATAGTGACACACACACTCCTAGTGATAAATTTCGGTACTATTTAATAAGCTGTTGTTAGCCTCATATGACAATTGCAAGTTAAAATATATGTCACTATCCATCATAATCTTGTTTTCCAGCAAATTCAAGATACTTTATATATTTTTGTACATGTCAATCTGTATTACAGGAAATACATGTACTATTGTACAAATTTTGTACATAATCTTCTACAGAAATAATGCAGGAAATATTTGATACTGGACATTGGATGTGTTCTGGTTGATATTTTAGTCGTACATATCTTAGATAAAAGATTTTTGTTATTACAGTTCTTATTGGCTTTGAACTAGCGGTCAGTAACTGTTAGTACTTTAAGTCTTGTAGCCAGTTAACTTTTTGTTGTGGTTATGTATAAAATCCTGGTAACATCTGCTCTGCGGGTTTTCTATATTGTTTTCTGGTTTTTGTCGATCTGATGAGCCCTTTTCAACTGATGTTTATAATTTGTTCTTATGTTTTTACCGTTACACTACTGTCCTAGGTTGACTCTTCTGAACATGTTTAACGATGCAATATTCTATTAAATTCCTGTCACAATCCTGTAGTTCGGCTGTTGATTGTTGATGTCCGCCGAATTTTGTTTTCATAAATTGTTGTGCTATAAATAAGCCATTAGTATTATTAATGGAATGGTTTACTTTTTATATAGGTGACTATATGGTATGGGTTTGTCTCATTGTTGAAGGTCATACAGTTGCTTATAATTGCAAACTGCCAAAAGTATGATGTCCTTGTTGAGAGAGTGTTCTAAGTAGCCACACTATTGTAATCATTTGCCAGTAGACACTAAGCTCAGGAGTTCAAAATCTTTCCCAATTTGTACAGGTAGATTTTTTTATTATTTGTAAATTTTTTTATATGTAATATAAAATTGAGAATGGAAATGGGGAATGTGTCAAAGAGACAACCCCCCCACCATAGAGCAGACAACAGCCGAAGGCCACCTGTACATTTGTATTTGTATTGTAGATATTGCCAGCATATATATATCTACATGTAGAATGTAACTTTTATTTCAGTTATAATTATTAAAATTTTCATATTACATGGTGCTAATTAAATATAGTTATAAACGCACCTTCATGGAAATTATGATTTTTTATAGCTATCTCCTTTTCTTCTTCTATTGCTGCAGTCAGTTCTTTTTGGACATTATCAAACCACCAATCTTGGATTTCATTCTCAATTTTGGCAAATGTTCTTTGTGTCATTATAGGTGAATCAAACGTAGCAAAAAACTCATTAGTATGAGCAAGTCCGTTTCCTGTTACAATAGCACCCCATGCTGCCCTAACATTCACATCATAGTGGCGACTAACATTTGTCTTTAGCGTAGGACTGGTTTCAAAACAAAATTTATGTTTGCATCCTTTGCAAATAGCTGAGAGTTTCACCGCTAACCCATAGTTTGCAACCTGCGATAGTATCTCAACTGGCTCTCCACCTCTTACAGCGATATCCCGAGCAAATTTACAGAAAACTGCATGTTTAGCTATCTCATTGTAGTGTTCTTGTAGACAAGTCAAATTTATCAATCTATATCCTGTTGAAGCAACACTGTGTACAGTTTTCTTTAAACCTTCACGGTCATGATAAACACGATACCTTTCTTTCAATCTCAATAAATTGAGGGTTGTTTTTTTTGTTGTAATATGAGTGAATGAAAGTTCTAGTAAGTGTCACTTTAGTTCCTTCTGATGAGCATTTAAACACAAATTTTTGTCTGCCGCTGGTGTATTTCCCATCTATTCTTTGTTTTCTGTAGCGTTCCGATGCCATTCCAAACTTAGAAGATGATTTCCTACCTCCTCTCCTTGTGACAGCCATAATAAACAGCGAATATTCAACAATTTTTATACAATATAAATAACTATGTAGAAATGACCTTAGCTTGTTTCCTTCGGTGTTCCATAAAACAGTAACACAATATAAGACGAATAAACAAATATCTTTTTAAAAAAAAAGACATTTTTGTATTGATATAAGTGCCAAAAGGCATAATCTGTACATAAAAACAAAAAAATAAAGTGTTTTTTATCATTTGCAATAATGAAAACAACACCAGTGATCAACGATCACGAAACAGAAAGTAGGGTTTAATAGGGGATCGGTATAAAATATGGGTAATCAAACACAATGGGGACATATAAGGGTATCAACCTACCAATTCTATAGCGTAACATCAATGTATTTACTCCGTAAATTAGTATACTACTCATTTCCATTTTTCTTGTTCAAAGATCAGCCTAACAGTATCTTCCTGTGCAAACCGGAAATACCTACAAAAAAAAAGTCCCAGTTGGTTTGATAGAATATTTAAATATTGTATGATCGTTTAACCATAAATTCATTTTAAAAACTTTACTTCAATTGTTGTTGACAAATTACAGCAAATTGGAATATTTTTTTATGACTGACTAAAAAATGCGTATGAATGGACTTTATTTGGTGAGATGAAGAACGATGGCGAACAGAAACAAAATGTACACAATGATATTATGAAGGCAATGGTTAACTTAGGATACAATCGATCGTGAAAGTATTAAACGTATGGAAAATTTTCAACAGAAATAATTACCTACTAAACTTATATAGCCGGGTGATGGAAAATATATCGAGTAAAAACAGTGGAAAATTGTAGTGGCGAGTTACAACATGGCGGCGCCCATATTCTAAAACATTGCTTGAAAAGTTTCCAATTTAGGCATAACCGATTACAGTAGGTACAATTTCAATGCTGGCAGCAACTACCTATGAACACAAAAACACGTTTTTATTATTTTCTTACGGTTTACTGTGTCCATTATTTCTAAACATTTTTTTTCCCGAATCGTGTTATTTTTTGGCAAGGAACAAATTTTCACAAAGTTTACTTAAAATCGGAAAATAATTTAAATAAATAGATCTTGGTTATGTTTTATTTCAAACTGGGACAGTTCAGAAATGCAAAATTAAGCCCATTACAAAGTAAATATTGCATCAAAATGTATTGAATTGTGGTAGCCATTTTGGAATCAAAGTGTAAACATGAACCTTAAAGACTATTTAAAAATTTAAATCATTTTAAAAAGTTAAAATTATTTAACATAGAAAAACCAGTTTAAATTGTTGAGCTATTATTTTTTATAAAACATTGCTTAATTCTAAAACTAAAAAAGAATACTCATTATTTTTCTTCTGTGTTTTTAATTCTATAGCTTTGGTCAAGCTCCGTGTAAGGTTTGAATCCAAATGACCAAACCACACGAGGTAAATTGCACGGACTAACATTTCGCGGGCTACACTAATTAGCATATGAAAGTGACCAGTAAAAAATGAATCGAACACACCGTCAAATAAAATTATACCAAGTTATATAATTACAATAACTGAAATTAATTATTATTGAATTAAATTTTATTATTCCTTAAGTTTTGTATATGTTATAATCAAGAACTATATTGGATTTACATTTTACATTTATGATAAAATTTCAAAGCTGTGTTTTGTAAATGTAGGCATTTGCATGTCCGTCTGTCATCAAATGTCGGCTGTGATTTAGGTAAGAGAAGGACAATGAACACAAGGCCAAATCATTATAATAAATATGCATAGAAATAAAGGAATATTTGAAATGCAATCATACACAAATTAAGAATGGATTTTGTATCAGATATTTATATAAATTAAACAAGAAAAGAGATATGGTATACTATTTATATTAGGCACATTTAAATTGAAAGGCAAAATTTTGAAAAATTTTGATTAACGGAAAGGGGTAAAATAGATAAGAGCAAAAATAATGTCATACAATTTTGAAACTTAAATAAGAAATAAGATAAAACAAATATTTGCGTTATTTCACAAAGGTTTGCGTTATTTTGCCAATGTTTGCGTTATAACGCAAAGGTTTGTGTAATAACGCAAATGTTAGCGTTATTTCGGAAAGGTTTGCGTTATAACGCAAAGGTTTGCGTTATTTCGCAAAGGTTTGCCTTATAACGTAAACATAGGGAAAACTATAAACCAAAAATTGTGTGGCGATAATACGCTTCCGTAAAAAACAATTATGATATACAGCAACAAATGACTTGACTATAAAATCAGTTGAAAACGGTTAAAATCAACAGATCGATACAGAGCACACAAAAAAAGTTACAAAAAAACAAAACAACAAAAGACACAAAGTACCGATCTGAGAATAATCGCAGTGACTGCAATCAAGTTCAAAGCCGATAACAACTAATACAAACATGTATTACTACAATATCAATCAGTACACATCCAACATCCAATGGGTTTAGTGTAAAGACATCATTAACAGTCAGAGAAAAAACATGGCCTTGTGTAATGCCAAAATATAGGTTTCGATAGATTGAAGGACCATCAATGTTCACATATGTATAACAATAATATAAAGTTTGGTTTTAATTTAATTATCACAAAATGAATATTTATGCCGATAAAAACTATATTCAAAGATCTAATTACAGTGTTGAATTGGTAACTTTTTTCTAAATACGTTTATTCAAAGATCGATTAGTTTACCTGAATAGTAACTAAATTTACTATCTCTGTAAACAGAATTAGGATGTGCTATCCCGTTTGCCCTCATTTTTCACCATGTACAGCTGAAAACCAAATCCTTATATCTATGGAATAATTTAGTAAAGGTTTTAAGTAATTTGTGGTAACGAAATCCTTGACATTATAATTTAACACATAGATAACGTAAATTGAAGTCCAATACGTCACTACAGACACGGGAATAGCGAACGATTATATTGGGATATATAAACATCCTAAGATGGTGCCAAAGGAACATAAATAAAGAAAATTAACAATAGGGCACGAAAAAGCGTTCCTTTTGTCGTAACTTTTTGTGAAAAACTGAAGTATCCAAATCTTGGAAAGTACAGTTATTGCTGCTTATATATACGACTTTTTAAAGTAAGTTCCTTTGTGTAAATTTCGGCAGTATATTGAGGAAATTCTAGATTATTTAACGAAAAAATATCATGAAGACAACGATAAGTGTGATTGAATTTATAGATTGAATGGAATTAAGACGGGTCTCTACTGAGTTGGGCAACACACTGTAATTCATAACAATACAGGAACACGTCTGCTTTCTATGGAACGCCATGACTGCCTTATGTTGATGATCATCATTATATGCAGTGGTCACAGCATTATATGCAGTGGTCAAAACATTATATGCAGTGGTCACAACATTATATGCAGTGGTCACAACATTATATGCAGTGGTCACAACATTATATGCAGTCGTGACAACATTATATGTAGTAGTTAAAACATAATATGCAGTGGTCACAACATTATATGCATGTATATAATGTTGTGACCACTGCATATAATGCTGTCACGACTGCATATAATGCTGTGACCATTGCATATAATGATGATCATCAACATAAGGCAGTCATGGCGTTCCATAGCTTTCACAGGGACGCAATTGATATACATTGGAATACCTACAACGTACAAAATGTTGTCAAGGAGAAAATTTAATCATTTCATCAAAACTCCAGTAGGTATATCTAGCATATTTACATTTCCTATCAGAGAACAAGGATTAGTTTGAGTTGCAGCAAATAAATTTTGTAATCGGATTTTCAAACGACCATTTTATTACATAGGAAATCTTTTTTTTATAAGAATGAGTGGAGGTGTAGTGTAAACAGTTGACAAGTCAAAAGGACAATCAGTAGCAAATAATTTATCTAAAACATCAAAAGAATTTTTTACACTAAAAAAATTGCCAATCCCATTATTTTTCTATGTATTCTTACAAAAGTTGAATTTGATTGATAAGTTTTTTGATAGAAGTTAATGAACTATTTAAAATGACTGAAAGATTAGTTGTAGAACATTTACTAGAGCTAGACATGAAACGATAGTTTTCGAGTTTTTGTGTAGTTTAGATAACATTTACATAGTAGGGACCTTCACATGTTCAAAAGAGGCCTAAAGCTGTGATTTGTTAATGATTAGAGTGTTTACTATATGACTCTCTGTGGAACGCACGGACATTAATGTAGAAAAATAAAAATTTCATACTTAAGAACTTCCATGCAGATTTATGTCATACACTGTATCACCACCACATTGTTGGCTGCTTTTTCGGCCGGTATGAAAACATACCGCTTTGCGAGCACTTGAAGTATGTTTCTTATTCTAAAAATAGGCGTATTATTTACACTTTCTTTTATTTTTATTTTTATTCAAAATGTGCTTCTTGAGAGAAGTATTCGAATATCCATAATACTCATACATTAATTTAGATAAGAATCAAGAGATTTTTATTCAGATTTTTTCCGTTTACATCATTTTTTAAGACGGGATGAAAGAGTGTTTATAATGACCTGAAGACACTATTTCCAATCTATTTAATTGAAGGAAGATGTTTTGATCCTTTTGATAATACATGGACTTTTCCCAAAAAAGTTCAAATGTAGGTTTCGATTATAATTTCGCACTAAAACAATTAACATACATTTGAAGTTTCTGGAAAAAAGTGGTGGTTAATGTGTTTTGTACATTTGTTTGTGTGTGTGTGTGTGTGTGTGTGTGTGGGGGGGGGGGGGGGGGAGGGGCTTCGCCAGTGTTTATCGCATGTATCGTGGTTTTTTTCTTAATTGGTATTTCATATAGGACCTAACAACTGTTGGACTTTATATCTTTGGCGCTGGACTTTGCATCTCCAGCGCTATACTTTATATCTACAGCGCTAAACATTTTTATACATCTACAGAGCTAGACTTTATCTATATCCACAGCGCTAGACTTTGCATCTCCGGCGCTTGACTTTAGATTTACAGTGCTTGACTTTAGATCTACATTGCTAGATTAAGTTCTCTAGCGCTGGACTTTACATCTCCATCGCTGCACTTTTTAAAATATCCTCCAGGCACAAAGATAATAAAATTAACTTCTACTTATGAAAGCTTCACGCCACTTTCAACAATATCTTAGATAAATCGTAGTGATCTGTTTTGTTGGTGGAGGATGACGTGATACAGAAAAAAAAACCAACTACCGACCGTTATCACCAAAACGTAAATTTACCTCTTTGCTTGAATAGTGGTAAATTTTATTCGATAAAATCTTCCGTCCAAAAAAATAAGTGACGAAAGTTGATAGAAAGAACATGTCAGGGAAAGTGTGATTTATAATAATTAATTCACATAATTCCTCGATGAGGAAAAAAAACTAACAATTCGGATATTAGAACCATATTTTGCAGAAATAGTACTTTTATAACTCGGCTCTCAGATTT